GCTTCATGTTACATAAGTTGTAGCTGACAGCGGAGGGTGAGTTTAAAGCACGCGCTGAACATGACAGGAAACTGAAGAAACCCACAGGCGCAAATTACAACACAGGATTCATGTGCATGTTCTAAAGGGTTGAGCTGAAAGAAAACAAATTGTAGAGATAATTTGCAGCCAAACACATTTTTAAAGCCCCATCTTCCTATTGTGTCTCCATTTCGTTTATTTGCACAGTTGTTTAGTTTTTCCATGTGAGCATCTGCGCCTTTAAGATCATCTCTCAGCATCCTCCTCCTCTGTCAGGCACGCGCACACACGTACAGCAGCCCAGCATTAGAGAACAGGTTACAGCCTAGCTTCCCACATACACACATCCTCACATAAAACACACGACAACATCACACTTCTGCTTTTTTAGCATCCTCATTTCCTCCCCTGGACATTGATGCCTTTTCCTCGGCGGTCGCCGTAGCGATTAATCGATCCGTTTCCTCCTCTCCTGCATCCAAAGACTCCATCAACGCTACAAGATGGCTGAGCTGAATTTGGGGAAGGGACTGACGGCTGGGAAAGTGGCCAGCAACGTTCAGAAAAAGCTCACCAGAGCTCAGGAGAAGGTAAGATGTTGCTCGGGAGAGGAGGAGGAGGAGGAGGAGGTGGTGGTGGTAGGGAGAAGGAGAATTCCGTTTCAGGCCGCGGAGCAGCGCTGCCGCATCCTCCGCTGAGGCGCAGTGTCGCATCACGGCATCATAATGGGAGATGTTGTGTTTGGAGATGTCCACTTAGGATACATCCCGTTTTAGGACCCTGTCCTACAGCGGACACGTCCTGTAACGACATGCAGCACAGCGAGGTCCTTACATATCTGACGTTTCAGCTCTTAAGCCTGTTTTATGGCTCCTTTTTGACTGAAGCGTCCTCTCCTCCTCTTCATGCGCCGTTACAACAACCATGGCTGCGGCGTAAAGTGGCAGATAGGAGGCCTTTGCCTTTAAGCAGATGAGGGGGCGCTGTTTTTCAACCCTCAGGACTAAAATAAATTATATTAGCAGCTAGGGTAATAATACATGTGCACATCTTTGTAAACACATTTGTGATGTATATTCAGAAATTTTGCTGGCAATTTTTATGCACTAAGAAACAGCATATATTTCCCCTTTCTTCTCACATTTTATTGTTTTCTTGTCTGCTTCATGCTAAAAATGTATCATTTTATTAAAGGGATGCATTGAAAGTCACCCACCATCGTGCATGCCAAAGTTTTAAGCAAAGATCTTACACGATCTGTTAGACCTTGCCACATATGATGGGGGTGACTCTTAGCTACTGCCACACCAGATTTCAGCTCAGTCTGTCCATACCTGACTAGTTAAAGCCATTTTTGTGTTTGCTATAATGAGTTAGTTGTGGTGGTTAACCTCTAAAAACACAATCAGTTGTAGATGTTGATTCAGTAATCGGTAAACTTTCTGAAAATCTCAACAAAATTTGTTCAGTGGTTCATGAGATATTTTGCTAACAGATATGACTGATTCCAATAGATGTTGCCAAATGTTTAAACACAAACCTGTTTGTTCTCAAACTTTGTTTTAGGCGTGACCTTCACCTACAACGCCAAAATGTATTTTAATATCTCTAAAACTGTATTAGCTGTGGTGGCCATCTTTAATTAATTTGACTCCAAATGTTTATCAGTTATAGATGTACATTTATTGATTAGTTTCGGAGAGTTTCATAAAATTTAAACACTTAATAGAGAATATATTTCACCAACAGTCAGAAGAATGAACTCATTCCCACACAATAGCAATTACATGATCGTTGGCCTTTTGTAGCAGCAGGTGATAATTTTAAAAGCATTAGAGGCCGAGTCAGACAACTTTATTAGTCCCAATGGGTCATTTAGTTGTTAGCTAATAAAAAAGAAGAGCTAAATTAAAAGATTAGATCAATGCATTGAAAACTGTATGATTGCTATCAGCTTTTTTACAGCGTTTACTTGTTATTTGCTTGGCTGACAGGTTCTACAGAAACTTGGCAAAGCAGACGAGACCAAAGATGCTGCCTTTGAGGAGTGGGTTATTAACTTCAACAAACAATATGTGAGTCAGCATTCTAGCAAAATGCTTACTGTTATTYTGAATGTGCCAAAAAAATCAATTAGGGAACTGTGGCATAATAGTATGAACTCTATGCCTGTTTGTGTTTCACCCTCAGACTGAAGGCTCCAAACTCCAGAGGGATCTAAGAGCTTATCTGGAGGCAGTTAAAGGTAACACACTCGTTAACTCACAGATGCATTCAAATTCCTCATATGGCTCCATATTTTATGTTTTGTTCTTTTGTCATCTTTAGCCATGCACGAGTCCTCCAAGAACGTACAGGCATGTCTGGGTGACATGTACGACCAGGACTGGTACGGCAAGGATGAAGTGGATTCTGTTCTGGAGGTCTGAAACTTTTTTCTTTCCTGTTAATTGTTTTTGATAATCTAGAAGCCTTCAAAAGTTGCCTTTGTGTGTGAGAGAGTCAAGGTTAATTGGCTTTTTGTGCAGAAGATTAGAACCAGCAACATTAGTTGATTAAAAGAGTGTAGCTGYTGTATGGATTTTGGCAAACAAAAKCTGTATGAGTCTGGGCAGAGGAGTCGATGGCTCAAAGGTCACGGGGTGGAAAAGTAGTCCTGCCAATGTTATATTTGGCTGCAGGTTTTAAAAGCTAGCAGCTGGTACAGTCATGCTCAAACCAATACAGTTTAATTTATATTGCACAATTATTACATCAGTTACTGTTCAGCATTTTATTAATTTCGGATTTTTTCATGCTAAGATCTCTACTTTGAGCAAGCCCTCAGTGACATTAAAGGAAAAAAAGAGCTAGAAATATTCTGAACTGAAAGCAGCCTAAACATAAATGTTTTTGGACTGTGGGAGAAAACTGGAGTACCCAGAAAAAAAAAAGAAAAAGAAAGAAAGAAAACACGAGGAGCAGGTGCGGAGCCAGGGGGTGGCCAGAGGTGGCCATGGCCACTACAGACAAATCTTTTGGCACCCCATTGGCCACCCTGCTGTACACACTCCTTCCACAGTGAAACAACTTTTAGGGGTGTAATAATCCTCCTGAACAGTTGGTGGCAGTGTTTAACAGTTTGAAACATCACCAAGCTCAAAGAAGTGACGAAGAAGTGATTGTTTTCTTTATATACAGAACATATGCCCGTGTAATCTGACTTATGGTGACATTTTTTTTCGTCACCATAACACAATGTGTCATTTTATGTTATGAAGGCTTCATGATGCTCTGTCCCTTTTGGTTAGGAGCGGACCCTTCACTAAATCAAAAAAAAGTGAAATGCCCCTTTAATATCATTGTTGGTGATTATCAATATTGCACCTGTTCATTGGGTAAAGTTATTAATATTTGTTTTAAACATGTAGTTCATGGTCATCATTATTTGTCACAATGACATGCGTTGAAATTAAAAATAAATCAATAAATAATATAAAAATAGAAAGCACCCCTACAGTCATTAGATATGATAAATTGTGACACATTAATTAATCTTATCTCAGCTGTAACAGTGAGTTTAAAAACAGGATGATGGAACTACTTTAATGAAGAATCTGTCTCTGAAATGATTATTAAATCAAGTGTTTATTTATGCAGGTAAAAGTATGTTAAACAACCTGGTAAAATACACCAGAATGCTGGAAAAGGCATCTATTTCATTCAAAAATTTGTGGGGGAGGACCCCCAAACCCCCCAAGAGTGTGTCCCCCCACTTTAAAAATGGTTCTGACACCCATGTTTATAAGGTAGTCACTGCCTGTATAAGGACATAAGGAAATGACCAAAACACAAAGATCTGCAGAAAAACTTCAAGTAAAAAATGATTTCATTTTCCTGGCCACCCCTGTGTGAGTACTGGTCCCAGTCTGGCCACCACTGAGAAAAATACCTGGCTCCACCACTGACGAAGAGAACATGCAAACTTCACACAGAATGACTCCTGGATGTGTAATTGTGTTTGTTCCGTGCTGCAGGACTGTGATGTGCTTTGGACTGATTATCACCAGAAGTTGGTTGATCATGCTTTAATCTCCATGGATACTTACCTGGGCCAGTTTCCTGATATCAAGGTAAGCTGCACAGTCATGATCTCAGCTAAGGATTAGTAGCATTAGATGTTGATGCAGTGGCTTCTATTTAAATTGCATTATACAGTGTGCGTTTTTATGTTTAGCTACAATGAAAAAATGTTATTTTTACTATTTGTATATTTTTTAACAAAGTAGAAAACTTGATTTTTATTTGAGTACATCAGTGCAAATGAAGGCAACACAACCTGTTTTACTTTGTTTTTCAGGCTCGTATTGCTAAGAGGGACAGGAAGCTGGTAGATTACGACAGTGCCAGACATAACTATGCTGCCACACACAAGGCCAAGAAAAAAGATGGGGGCATTAAAATTACCAAGGTAAAGCAAACAAGAACTATTTACATATGCTTACATGTACAGACATGAGTTAAAAATTAAATAAAATCAATAAAAACATATGAAGAATTGCTCTCTCCTTTTCAGCCTTCCACCTTGTTGGAACGAGCCACACCAGGTTGGGCTCAGGGGATCTTGTCTGCACACAACCTTGCCCAGAGCAGTCTCTCCAAGAGCCAGGTACCTTCTACACAGTTTACGAGCTCCTCCACATTGTATTATTGAATACTTTAGCAATGTCCTGCAGTATTTGTTTAGGGTTTTAATCCTGCTACTTCTCTTTTTTATGGCCTACCGTTCAGAATACAAAATGAAAAGGAGATCAATAAAAACTACTCAGAGGAACTGTTGCAGCTTCTTCCTTTTAAACGTTCCAGTATGTCTTCATCACAGTGATTACTTTGACTTTGCCAGCTAAAGCTTGCCATCTCACATAAACAACCTCAAAAATGTTTTTGTTGTTCCTCAACATAAAACCTCCTAAAATTGGCCAAAAATAAAATTCAATAGAAAGCCTCCAAAAGACACAAAGCAGTACAATAAGTGGTGTATTACTGTAAGTATCACTAACTCAAATAAGGACAGCATACAGCAGAAATCTAAGGGGGATATTTGATTCAAATTTTAATCTTGAGAAGAGATTAGTTGTGTAGTAAAGAGATCTATTTTTAAACTGAAGCTTTTACGTAAAGTGAAACCCTTTTTTATCCTTTAATGACTTTGAATGGGTGATTCCTCTTTTTATTACTGTGCTGCTGGATTATTGTCATTTGCTGTGTGTTGCTGCTAGCCAGGCTGGCCTCTCATGACTGCAGTTAGTTCAGAATGCTGCAGCTCATTTATTACCATGAACACACAAAAAGATTAAATAAGTAAATAAATAAATAAATAAATAAATTAAAAAAAAGAAAACATCTCCCCAGTGGGTTTTCTTTACTGAATACTTATTGGTATAATAATTTATTTAGTTTATTATTGACCTATATGGTCTGTAATGGACAGGCTTCTGGATGTAGGCTCCAGGTCCTTTAAATCAAATGATTATTTGTTTTTAGCCAGGAGCTTCAGGTTGGTCCACCGAGATGATCAGGTCTTTTTTCATACCAGACCAGCTTTACCTCTTTACCTCATCTTTAAACAGTACAACACGAGAGTTCAAAATGTTTGCATGATTTTAACAATTACATTTTTATGTTTTATGTTTTTTATTACCTCCGCCAAGGGCGAGGTAATGTTTTCGGTCGCGTATGTCTGTCTGTCTGTCTGTCTGTCTGTGGACAACATTACTCAAAAACTTGTGGATGGATTKTCATGACATTTTTAACACGTGGTTACTGGTCCAAGGAACACACCATTAAATTTTGGTGATGTTCCGGATCATGATGCGGATACAGGAATTTTATTTCTTTTAACACTCTGAGATCGGCAAAGCTGTCATGCTTTCACATGGCTTCTATAAAAAAAAAACAGTGAGCTGGATTGGACAGCACGGACTTCAAACTTTATAAAAGCTATGTTAAAACCATATTTAATGATGAATAATTTTTGCCATAATATGTGCATTTAGAGAATGTTTCGTGACCAGGAAGTGCGTGACTGCACCATGAAACCTATTTTTCCTATTTCCTCAAACACACCACATTTCCGAAACAACCAAACTAGGCTTGTAAACAAAGAGCTGCCGGGCCTCAAAGTTTGGAGACGGGGGGAGCCAGGAAGCACTTTATAAAGAGAGTCAAACCATTACAAACTCATACAAGTGGATAAAACAGACGTTTTACATGGTGAAATGTGACTGATGAAAACTTAGTAGCTTAACCCCACACCAGTTTGACGATGAATAACGTCGGGTGACGAGTCTGATTTTTTTTTTTTTTTTTACATTGGACTCCACCGGGAAGAAATCTCATGCATACTGCCTGCTTAAATGTTCGCTACGTCAGAGCTTATTCGGCAAATGTGTTTCCATCTCTGCTTTTGCGCGTTAACTCTTACAGGATGGGGGAAATTGGTCTTGGTGGAGGTTTGCACTCTCAGTGTGCTTCTAGTTATTATTTGTTTTTTATTGTCTCTTGCTTTTGGTATATTTTTACTATTTGTCATTTAGTGTGCAGCACTTTGGCCAACGGCAGTTATTTTCAATGTGCTATATAAATAAATTTGATTTCAATTGAKTTCCCATTTTCTAACTGTGTGTGTGTTTCAGGCTGAGGAGGAGTTGGAAAGAGCCCAGAAAGTGTTTGAGGAAATCAATCTTGACTTGCAGGAGGAGTTACCTTCACTCTGGAACAGGTATGAACTCTACCTGTGTGTCATTGCACCAACAATTACTTTACAGCTGAGCTATATTTACTCTCATGGGACTCTGAGGTAGTTATTATTGTTCTGTGTTTTCTTTGCTCTCTCTAGTCGTGTTGGATTTTATGTCAGCACCTTCCAGAGTTTGGCAGGTTTCGAAGAGAAGTTTCACAAGGAAATGAGTCGGGTAAGGCTCCTCCGGAGACCTCCAGTGCTGCTGGATTTAGATGCAGGACTGGATTAGGTTACAGACAGTGTATCATGTGGCAGCTGATGGAAAAAGTTAACAATGCTAGACAGAGGCAGCCCTGCAGCAGCAGAGTAACGGTTAAAAGTGGCTGCAGGTGGCGTGTCCGCTGTGTAATTCTTTTAGATCAGGATAACTGGATTCACTTTCTGTATTATTATGAATGAGATGGTGCAAAACGCTTGTAGCATTCACACACAAGGAGGAAAGWGCAGCTGTGCAATGTCTGATAAGGAAAAACAATATAATATGAGTTGATTTAATGAAAAAAAATGTATTTTTTTACAGTTGGATCAGGATTTGTATGAYGTCCTGGAGAAACTGGAGGAAACAGACCCAACCAGGTTAGTGARCGATGAACCGTTTAAAGTTTGGCATAATTTAGGAAAAACTTAAAAGTAACTATTAATAACTTGTATCAGCAATCAGTCACTAACATGAGAAATACAATAAGTTTATATGGGCAGATGAAAAT